TGACCGTAGGTTAATTTGGGGATAGTAGAAACAATGCACAATGCACTTTCAATAAATTTTATTTGACTTGGTTTCCAGCTTCCTTAGTTTACCAATGCTTTTCAGGAATAGATGTTTTCAGAAAAGTTGCTGAGACAATAGGTCCTCATCCAGCTTTAACATACCTTCTTTCAAAGTCGGTTGACAACTCAACTTGCGACTCAGTTTTATGAACCTTGTACTTCTAAAATATCTCCCCTTCTGAGTTCCAGTTTACAATCACATTTGATGCCGATTTTGTTTCAAAATTGTACCGAAACTATTCAAACTTAACTTCTTTCTTAGTCTTCTTGTCCCTTATATTTTATTCTGATATTCTTGTCTCAGATCTGCAGTTTTGCCTCTCCAGCCCGCTTCTCAACTCTGCCTTCGTTTGAATTTCTGCGACTCGGCATCTACATTAGCCGATGTTGGGGTAGTGATCTTCAGCTACGAATTCAGTGCTTTCTTGTTTATGGCTCGATTTTAATAAAGTGCGTGGTCATGGATTAACTCTCAAAAGTGACAGATTGTTGATGCGTAAGTTATGCCATATATTTCAGCTATAGGCTGTTGCTGTTTGGATGAAACTTCGAGTAGATGCGACACTGATTGACAGCACTCCCCAAAATACACTTTGCATTTGGAGTACTTCAACATCATTTTTGCTTCTTAAACTAAACCTTGGAAAAATATTATTTCTTCGCATTTTTAGCAGCAAAAATTTAAGGTAGCAGTTGCGTTTTTTCGGAAACAGAGCCGGTTAGAGCGGACAAACTGTTGAAGAGCACGAAGATTCGGCGATTAATATATTTTCCGTTTCTCACAACAAAAAAAAACCTCGAAAATTTTTTGAAAGCTATACATTGGTAATGCTCCATCAATATTAACTAATAATATTAATCAAATATCGATCATTCTGCAATCTAAAATCAACTGTTTGAATGCTGTGCTCCTTTATTCTGCGCTTGAAAAAGCAGATTGGGTCTGACTAAACTATCAGTGCCTTTTTTTGAAAATCAGGCAAGCTCTATAATTTTCACGAATTCATATGAACCTACTTTTAAATTCAAGCAAATTTTTTGACTCAGGAACTGAATTATTTACAAATCTCAAGTTTTCAAAGTTTGCGAACCAAGTAGGAGGTCGAAAATCTGAAAAGCAGCTTCTCCTGACGTTTGACCTCGGCTGGAAACTTAGGCCAACTGCATTGCTCAAAAATCGAAATGAATACGAATTTAAAATCCTAAGAATAAAGTTCCAAGCCCTATAGGAGCCAAGAAATTAATAAACTGGCCTTTAGGTCAGTCTGTTTTCTATCGTTTATCCTCTCTTCCAAATTCAGCCGAATAAAGCGATTTCTTCGGTTTTTTTTGCGAGTGTATGCATGCGTGATTCGTGAATGTCCCGTTTTCGAAAACCACAAAGGCTAAAATTTTAGAATTTATGAGCACGCACTGCAGCTGTGTTCGGATCCAGAATGGTGGAATACACTCTTTCATACAGACGCAGATTACATTAAGGATTTATTTTTTGACACAAATTGACATCATGCAACTGCAGTCGCAACATGCTGCACATGTTCCAGACAGTTTTTTAGCTGCGCCTTGTGCGCGTATGAGCAACTAAAGTATTGGTCAGGGCTAATTGTAAAGAGGTGGGAAAACCTCCACTGTCGCATTTGTCCATTGTGAGCTCTTAGCAGCTGATCGCGAAAGCGCATGGCAGCGTCGGACCCCTGACGCGCGTCGCTATTAAGGAAAGCTTTGCTTCCGCTTTTTGTGCGTCATATGTAACTTTGCCTCTGGCGAGCGCCTTCATAAGGATGAGGCGACGAGAGAAAATGAGAAAATGGATGGAAAACTAAAAAAAGCTCAAAATCGTTCTGTCTGCCCTTGTAATTTTAATTGCTTTCAAACAACTCGGCAGCGCACCACCTTTGTGCGTGAATCGCAAAATTCTTAGTGTATGACAAACAATCTGAGAAGCAACGAATTTTTGTTCGGTTTAATCATAGCTGGAACAAATCCCTGCTAGGCTGAAAAAATAAGTGCTAATCAGAAGAATGTCGCGCAACTGTGCTAGCTGCAGATTTTTCGGTGGGAACACCAGCTGTTTTATGCGGATAATTCAACTAAAAAATTGATGAATAATATTAGAACACATCTAGTTAGCTTTAGTCGTTGAGGAATTTGTGCAGTTGGTGATTCTGGCCAGGACGTGGGCAAGACTGTCCCAGCTGCTCAGCAGCCTTGTCCTTAGCTAATTCCAATGGATTAACACTGCTACTCCATGCAAAAAATCAGTGAGGGAAACTGTTTTACGTAAAATTCCGGGTAAAGCGTAAATGCTTATTTGGTGTGAGAAGTCTAGCAGCCTGTCTCATGGGGCTCTTTATTCAGCAGCCTGAAAAAAGGGACATTTTTCAGTCTTGCTACTACTATTGCTGCTATATTGTTATTGTTGTACTCTTGCACACAATTGAATGGGATCCTAGATGCCACTGAACAAACTTGTCTCGGTTGACAAATCTGTGGATTCAAATGTCAAGCACTTCCAGCACTCAGAATTGTGCTGCGAAGCTTAAAATTTTATGTATATGTGTTGTGTGTATGTTTGTGCATGCGTCTGTGTTTGCGATCCGAGCGCATGAAGTTTTATCGGGGCAGGCTTCGAAAAGGTACAAATATTGGGGTCCGAAACTGATAATCTGCTCTGCCTTTAACAATTTTCATTTCTGCAATGGCGATTGAAAAGATGAACAATCATTTGGGAAATTTCCAAAAATCCCTCTTCCCAGTACTGGAATTATGCAGTGACGGCGCTCCCTCAAAAAGAAATCATGGCTGCATAGTGGGTTAGTCAGTTTTTGTTGAGAGTATTTTCTCTGCTTTGTTTCAGTACCCATTCAGCAGGCCGATAAGAATTTGTCAGCAAAAAGTCCGGCATTTTCAATTCTCTTATTTCAAATTCAAGTGCTATATTGACTCAGTTACTGAACAAAGTAGAAAATAAAGGAATAAACAGCAAGCGAGAAAGCTGAATGCAAGCACAAAAAAATGTAATGGAACCAAGCTGTGAGAAAATACAGACTTCACCAGGTTTGTTCGCCAGTAGCATAAACGTTCACTTCAGGATAACTGTTCTGAACAAGTCAGTAACATTCGAACTGAACACTGTTACTGGGTTCGCTATGAATTTCCCAGAAATAAATGCCGTTTGGACGTGAAAGAGTGTTTTTGCGAACCCACGAAAGAATGTTTTGTAAGGATCCAAAGTACAGAGAAATTCGAGAACGCTATGACTTACCGCATTGTCCCTCAGAGGACTGCTTATGACCGGTGCAATCCGGACATTTAAACTAAAAATTGCAAAATTTTGAAAAAAAGAAAAGTGTGCCATAATGAAAAATTGGCTTTTGATTCTGCCGTTTCGCGAATTTTCTCAAATGTGAGGGCGAATTTTGATGCACAGAAGGATGACGGCTAGAAGCACTCATTTCAATATTCCCCTTTTTTTTAAAAAATGCTTCAAGGAAGCAGCCTTTGTTTCATTATATTAAAATTAATTAGATTCCAACAGTGTCTAAAACTAAAAATTTACTTGCACGCGCGCGAGTCCTAAAAGTGCTTTAAAGCTGAATTTGCAATGTTTCGGCCGCACACGAGGCATAGATTATCCTCGCAAAATTTCAGCCTCCTAGCTTAATTGTTTCAGGAAGTCATTTTTCGTTGCAAATGTTTTTGACGAGTCTAAATGCGACGCAGGCACGCACCAAAGCTTAATTTGCGCTTACGTGCTTGCGTATGAACAAATATTCAACTCTGTCTAATTCTTGGCTTGGCATTTTGCCAGCGGTGTCTGGATTTCAACTTTTATGTGCTGACATTTGCGATGCAGACGTGCGTGATAACTGAATTTGAAATCTTTGCTCATAAACGGAACATAAAATATCTACGTCGGTTTTTGGCTTTCTTCCCAGTTCCCAAAATCATTTTGCTGCCTAAAAGTTTACATCTTTTTTAAGCTTTTGCACGTGAAACCCAGGCGTACGTAGGCATTTATTTTAGGCTGCTTCAACGGCACGTGAGCTAGGTACAACATTCCAGTTTCCTAGCTTCTGCGGTTGCTGAGTCAAATGTGAGTGAAAAATTCCGAACATGCACACGTACCGGCAACCTCCCTACAATATGCGTTTTTGCATTTGCATAAAGATGGAGAAGCGCATATTGAATAATATCCTGATAGCCTCTGCGTAGGATTACTCCTCACTGAGTTATATCAGAGAGGAAAGACTCAGTTAATGAAAAATGAGCAGGAATAAGGTAATAATTTGATTTGCTACTTTAGTTAAGAAAATGACAAGCATAATTTGATAGTGCAGCTTGGTGAGGTAGATCCCTATCGAGTCTAAGTAATGCAGGGCAGTTCGAATTAGTCGAATAGTCCCGTTGAGTGGGCCAGTGAGGCATTTTGATGGATCCAGTGTAATACAGATACTGTCTCTGAAAAAGCTAGCGTTTCGTCGTTTGTTCCAAGCTGTTCAAAGACCTATCTGCCCTAAATGTTTTCTCCCAGTTGATTCTAGGAAAACGCGCGCTGCCGAAACGACTTTTACATGAAAAAGCAGCAAGGCATGCTTCTTCTGCGAGGCCTTTGCTGCTTCAAACGCTCACGTGGACCATTAAATCCGATCTTTCATGCCTCAGCAAGCAAAATTTTTTGAATAAATCGGCAAATAAAAACAGTATGCAGGAAAGCATTATCTTTTTTGTGGCACTCTTATCTGCGTTCCATATATTAATTTCCTGTCCAGATCCTTGCAAAACGAACTTGCAGTGTGTTCTGATGCCATTGTTTTCGCTTTTTTGGGCCCCTTTCGTCATTTATCATCCCAGTTAAGCAGCCTTATTCGATTCTAGTAAATATGCCAACAAAATGCCGCAAGCATGAAAAGCAGCTCTGTTCCGAGAAAATTTTACATGAAAATAGTGGGACAGTTCGTCTTCTTGAATGTGTGGAAGAAAAGTGCATGTATTCATCACTCGACAAGTGGTGTCAGTACAGTTGTTTGTTCACCTAGCATTTCTGAAAACAATGAGTAGAAAAATCTTGGGTAAGGGTTTCACCGTACCGTACCGGAATCGATGGAACTGTGAGGAGAGAAGAATCGGAAATAAGAGAAGGAAGGGAGAGAAGGGACGAGGGGAAGGGATTTGGAGGGTGAAGTTAAAAGAAGGTGTAGAAAAATGATATTGGACTCAAAGTTGCCAGCAGTGACTATCCGAACGACACTTGCCATCAGCTAAAGAATATTTTAATTTTGCAGTGCCGAGCGTTTGAATTATTTCATCGACCGTCAAGATGGCGACGGTGGCATTTTGGAACACATTGCCCAGCAACCACAAAATGATTTTGAGGCCAAAACGCGAAGAGCCAGGATACGACGGGTTCGCTCTGTTTTCCTTCTTTTCGTATGATCAAGAAGTTTAAGCGGCATAAAAAGACAACCTGCATGGAGCCACCTAGCACGCTGCACTAAAATCTGTCCGCAATGCTTACTTGTAGCTGACCGGTGTGTTTAAGTAACAGACAGTGCTGCCCTTGCACTACAGGTCGAAAATTTCACCCTGCCAATGAAGGCAACCGATCCCTCTACGATTGGTCCATTCGTTTCGATGGTAAACTGATGTTGGCGAACGCCAGAGATACGTAATCACCATCAGCTTGCGTCTACGCAAAAAAAAAAGAACCTGTACCAATCTTGCTAACGATCGTTGCAGCCACGTGGGCTTTAACAGAGCGCTACCGCTTCTCAGAGAGACTGATACATGGAGATAGGTTTTATGAAGTATATGTGTAAAATGAGGATATATGTGTGTAAAATGCAAAAATGGGTTTGAAACAGTGGATAGTCTTGTCCGACATTCACTAAAAATATAGAAAATTCAGAATCATAACACTAGAATTTGTTTTGAATCATAATGCTAAAATTCAAATGTCCCATGCGTAATTATGGTGTCTTACCTAAATTGTTTTAAATGTTTGGGATACAAAAAAATTTCAGAAATTGCGCATTGTGCTGCCCCATGTTGGCCTTGTGTTTCTGTCTACAGCTTATACACTTCTCGGTGCTGCGATTTTTCATCATGTTAGTTGGTTTCTCATTTCTTTTATTCTTCAAATTTTCATTAAGTTAAACTTCCAATAAAAGTTTGCATTTACTTCTTAAATTCAAATCTGAGCAGTTAGTTCTGTTGTTAAAAAGATAAGCCAAAAATTGCAGTTTGAAATGCCTTACGAGGTGCACATTCGAAATCAGACGGCGCATCGCATCGAACTCCTGAAACAAAGGATTATCGACAATCTGTGGATGTTAGCTCACGAAGGAAACGATACTGGCGAAGTGACGTTTGAAAGCTGGTCAAAAATCGCGCACCTCGGGTTTGCTTCTCAAATGTTTTTCAAAATAAAAATCTGACAACCTACAGAATGCCCACGCTCTGTACCTTGGACAGCATGGTGCATTTTGCAGATATCTTGCAAGCCCTGATTTCACCGGAAGATCTGTGGGAACCACCAACTGCAGCTGCGTTTTGAAGGTTTTTATAGAAAAGTGTGCATGCTTCTGTAAAACACAGCCACCTCGTTTTTTTTTTTTTTGTGATCGATAACAAAATGCTTATAGACGCGCAATTCCCTCGGCCCACCTGGACAGTTCTGGATGAGTTATTTCAAACAGCTTTAATCTCACCGCGAAATATCCCCTCGTCTTTAAGTTGTCTCCTGAAGTACTGAACATTTTTTGCTCTGAAAAAAACGAAGGATTTTTCTTTAAAGATAAAGAATTTTTTAAACCAACTATAATGTTAATTTCAGGATGAATGATGTGATACGGGACGTTTTCATTGACTACACAAAGAATTACATGACGCCAGACGACATAATTAAAGGTGCTGGACCGGTGAAGTGGTCATTCGGTTCCAGCATATTTTTTTCATGGACTGCTATTACCACCATCGGCAAGCTCTATTTTTATAGCAGTTTAGCTAATTGTTTTTGTCCTTGAGAATTAGAGTACGCACTTGGCAAACGTGACGCTTATTCACTTCCTGGCCTGAGATGGATGTGTTTGCTGGAGATCTTCGACCTTCTGCATGTAATCTCTCTCTTCATTCAACGTCATCTTTGAATTTTTTCGTACTGCTTCCACGTTCTTTTTTGCTCGCATATTTTAAAAAAAGCTTTGCCATTGCCACAGTTATCCTAAACCTAATTCATACAGTTTATTGAAAATTAATTTTCTTATCTAGATACAGTATACACTGCACTGTTCCCTACCCTTTACTGGTAACAAGCTCAGATTATGATCAAAGGAGTTTATCACGATGTCTTTTTAATCAAACTAGAACATGAAAAGTACTGAAACCTCGGTTCTGAGAAATGTTTCAACTGCATATGTTAATACATTGAGGGTTTTAAGCCCTCCCTCTTCCAGTCTCCTGGTCACTGATGTTTACTGTTTATATCCCTAAAACTTCCATAACAGTTTCGCCTTAGAATTGAGAAATCAGCTCTTATTTGGATGCAGAGATTGGTTTAAAAAGACTTGAAGGCTGATTTTATCTGTTTTTGTACGACACATCAGAATTCCAAAATTCTGTTGTTTATAAAAAAAAATTCGAGTAACCAGTAAAGGGGTAAACGTGTTATGCACCAATACACCATTATAAATATCATTTCGCATCATCTATTCATTCAAAGGGAAAATGACATTAATTGCCTCCATCTTTATTTATGTAGTAGTTACGTAAAAGATTGGCATAGCTAATGCTTATGAACACCACCATGCTGTTACTGCTGCTGCAACTGCATTTAATGCCCTGTTAAATTTGATGTGTTTTTCTTGAGAACACTTCTGGGAGTTGTGAAACGTCTCATCCGTTTCGAAAATTGGAAAATATGAAGTTAGCTACTGCATAGTGCTTTATTCAAGCTTTGTTGCCAATACATGGTTTAAAAAAACCATCTAGCTGATCTAGGAACTTATTTTAGTGATGCTACGGTGATGCTTTCACACGTCGAGAGTTGCTATGTCGGGTTATGAGCCTTACAGCTCAAGTTAGAATCCAAACGTCTGCTCAGTTATAATATGTTCCACTTCTTCGGATACTGCATAAATGTTTTTTTCCTTTCTCACGAGTACCATTCACTAACACGTGGCACCTGGTGTTTGTCAACAAGAAGAGCAGTGTGCCCTGCCTATCGAATTTTATTTTCCTGCGCGATCCCAATAATATCCTGCGCGCCACTCATGTAAAGTAGAGTTCGATGGCTTATGTGGTCACAAAGAGACACACACAGCATTTTTCGCTTCACTCGCTCCCCCATCACAGTCAGCTGTAACCAAGTTTCGCATTCGTACGTCATTGCACTGACACTTTACAATGCAAATTTTGCTTGTGGGACATATATTTTTGGCCATCCTTTAGGCTATGGACATATTGTGCCAAGGACCGGTGAAGGTCGTATTGCATGTCTAATGTACGCATTATTAGGTATTCCATTGATACTTGTTACAATTGCTGATATGGGACGATTTCTCTCAGGTACCACAGTTTTTTTTCGCAGCGTTTTCCATCCGTTTATAAGGCAAAAACCGATTTTGACAAGCTCGTGTCTGTTTCAGTGTTTGTGTTTCTGGATAAAATCATTTCAAAAATTACCTAAGCCAAAAAAATAAGACTTTGTAAGTACAGTATCTAACAAATTCCCAACTGGTATGACTAATAAAATTATGAAAATTTGGTTATGTAATTCAATAAGCAATTCAGAATGAAGGATTTGAGCATGGATGGTTGCTTAAATAATTCTTCTATTGTAATTTTGAATAATTCTTTTTTTCGATACATTTATCGTGACTTTGATTTAAAGGTGGTATAATCTGGATTCACTATATGATGAGGTTATTGCGCTTGGAGATGTTCAAGAGATGCATGCAAATTTGTATATACTGTTGCAGGTGCCTTCCCGTTTTTAGGTAAGGTAATCTCGACATTTTATCGCAATGGTGTTTCTATAACAGCTATTAAACAGATGCTTAATTTATCCAGAAAAAAAAAGCATGAAACGAAAACAGTGTGACTGCCCAGCAGTCGCGAAACAAAAGACGGCGGTTATTGTAAAATCATTTGACGTACGCAGTGCAGTACAGGGCAATTAAAGAAACAACAAAAAGCATACAATAGCGTGAAACGGGACACATTTCGTGGAAAACGCTTTGACGGACACTGCAAGTGCACGAGGAAGTGCAACAGCCATCTTTTCGGACCTAGGCCAGAGCCCAAAAGCATAAGTTTCAAAATTCCAGGCTACAGCACTTGATGGTCTCAAAAAAGCGTTCCACAGTTAGGATTACATACATCCGTAGCAACAAAAATTGAAAACAAAACCAAAACTCACAAAAAAAAAAAAGAATTTTCGTCGAGACAGTTGCAAAAAATAATCAGAAATGAGGTCAAAACGAACGGTTAGAAGAGTCTCAGCTCCGTGGCACAGTAATGGGCGCCAAAGTGCAAGAAGTGCCAGAAACTATTTTAGCAAAGTGCTGCTGAAGTATGGAGGACATAAAATTCCAGTATTTTTATTAGAGCTTTGAACTTGAACAGTCTTGACCTTCTATTGGTTTAACAAAATTTGTAAGTTTTTTTGTAAATTTAGATTAGCTGCCAATAAATTAAGCCGCATTCTTGTGTGCGGAGCCAGGGGTCGCAAATCGAACTTCCACACCTTTTTGTCTGCTAGCTGTGAGTTAAGAACCAGTGTATTATCTTACGGGCAGCTTATCTGAACATTAGGAATATATTCAAAAAAAATATGCGCATGCTCAAATAGCGCACTGTGATTGTGTATTCTCAGAACAACATCGAGAAAAGGCATGCTCGCAGTGCTTTCGTTGAAATATTTGTTTTTTTTCAGGATGCTTTCATTCGAAACTTTTTCGATTCACTTTTCGAACTGACGGATAAAATAAATAAGAACCACTGATAACTTTTGCTTTCAGGAAAACGAAAACCCAGCAAAAGGCAGTTTCTGTGAATGATATTGCCGCTAGCAAAAGGATACGGCGACGAAGACAAAATCATATTGATACGATTTCTGAAGCTGGCACATTTGAAGGTTCATTTGCCCACTGAAGATTTCTTACAATTCCATTTTCTATCCGGTTGCAA